CAATATTATAGGACAGAAAGCGTAGGTTTGTTTGTGATGGGCGAACTCCTCGGAGGGGCACCATCAAAGTTTGGAGCTTTTTCTTTCTTTTTTTTTTTTTTTTTCCTTTTTTGTCTTTTTTCGTGACCGGCAACAGATTGCAACCCTCAGTGTTGCGCCCATACCGGACCCGGACCAGCAACGGGATTGCAACCCTCGGTGTTGCGCCCGCACCTCACTCAGCCAGTGAGTGGCCGGTCTGTATGTGGGATCGGAACCCTTGGCGGGAGTGCCGCCGTGCTCCCAAGCGGCGCACTGTAGCAGTGCGCCACCGGGCCGGCCCAAAAGTTTGGAGCTTTGAATGAACACTAGCTGCTGTGATTGTGAAACATGCATCCTGTGCGGATTACATCCTGAGACAGAACTCAACTCTTTTGGCTCTTCCAAGAAACAAAGATGATCATATACACAGCCAAGTCTTGTTTTAATTCTGTTAACACCACTCCTGCCATGAGCTACCTGGACAGCCTGACGGTTTCCTTTTCAGGTGGGGAGAGTAGGTAGTGTAGGTTGTTCCTTATCCACTACAACCAAATGCATAGCGATCTTCCTCTTCTGCTTTTAGTGTTTACTGTTGTGGGCTTGTTTGGTCCATATATGTTTGTGGACTAAATTAGGCTGGATTTAATTTTCTAACTTAATAGCCATCTGTGGTATGAATTTCATCAAGGCTCTGAATAGTAGTGAAGTTACAACCCTTCCGAACTCTGCTCCCTCATCCTGTCCATCTAAAGCCACTCAGCTACTTCTGAGAGACCTCGGGTGTGTCTTATGTGACCTCCCTGAAAGTTACTTTGTGCTGTAGCTTGGTCGGAAAGTTGGGTCATCAGCAAAACCTGTGCCAGCTGCCAGCCCCATAGTGACATTTCATCCATAATCTGGGGGACATGAAGCTACTGGAAATTTGACAGGAAGCGGAGCTCTTTCCTCTGCAGCTGTCACTGGGGTTGATGTGTCCCTGTCCACACTGGTGTCTCTCAGTGTCCTTTGGAGTGAAGACGCTGCCGCCTTCCTGCAGGCTCCACTGAGCGAGCCTCATGCTGTGATCCATACTGAGATGGAGCAAATGCTTCTGTTCTGTATTTTTTTTTTTTATCTCCTAGGCATCAAATCAACGCTATGCATGGTCTCAGGCCTCAGAGTGCCTTTTCAAAACAACATTTACTGCCACTTCCTGCAATCTCTTTCTTAGTCTAGCTAAGGGCTTGTCAATTTCGGAAACAGAGCTAAGGTGCTCAGTTGATACTTGGCTCCCAGGAGGTGAGGCGCCTTGTAGTGGTGACTCCAGCCCCTGGAATAGTGGGACTTGGCAATATCTCAGTCTGTGTGGGGTTAGGTGTAGTGTCAGCAAGGACCTGGGATGGCAGGTGCAGCTGTTGTTTAGGCCTCGTCAGACAGCGAGCAACACAGAGCTGACTCCACTCCCTGGGGAAAGGGGAGTCTCAGTAGCACAGTCTCTAGAGACCTGGGATGGCAGGTGCAGCTGTTGTTTAGGCCTCGTCAGACAGTGAGCAACACAGAGCTGACTCCACTCCCTGGGGAAAGGGGAGTCTCAGTAGCACAGTCTCTAGGGGAATGGTTTAGCTCCTGGGAGGCAGGGTACTAGAGCTGGTCAGCCAGTAGGGGAGGGTGTCTCATCTCAGCCACTGCTCTGTTTTTTTTGGGACACTGGACATAAGCTCAGCCCTGGGACATGCAGCTGCCAAACTTGGCCAAGCAGCTCCTTGGCCCAAGACACCAATTTCCCAGGGGGTGATCTGCCACTTCAGCTCAGTCCTGGGGGATGGTGTACAGCCACTACTGGGAGGAGTAGTTAAAGATTTCCCCAGAGGGAGTGCACAGCTTCAGCTCTGGTATAGCTGCAGCTGGGAGAGGTGGTGCAGGGGCTGGCTCGAGCACAGCTTAGCCCCTCGGGTAGGTGTGAAGGCTAAGGTCGGTAGGGGAAGTGTGAGCAGTTGAATGGCAGCTTAGCCTCTGGGATGACGGGTGTCACACCTGGTGTAAGTCATCCTCCAGCAGCAGTTCCAGTTCCAAGATGGCATAGCACAGTAGCCTGGTGGGCCACAGAGGGTGAGGCACAGTGTCAGCTCCTTTTGGGGAGCACAGCTGTGTGAACTCCAGCTTTCTCAGCAGAACTTAGTGCCTGTGTGGACGGCTGGAGTCTCCAGTGGTGAGGACTTTAAGTGTCCAAGGTGTTGATGGGTCTGCTGGGGTCCTGCTGGCCTTTTCCTGAGGGAGAAGTTCTCCGGCTCCCAGCTGGCCCTGGCTGGGGGCAGGGCATGTGTGTGTGTGGGGTGCAATGCAGACCAGATGTTTAACTCCATTCACTATGTGGCTGTCCTGAGTCTGTGCTCATTAGCACTCTGTCACTCCTTTGACGTACTCAGGTGCTCTCCTTTGGTTATTTTTGCCTAAACATAGTTGTTCAGTCATAGTTTTGTCTGTCTTTGTGGGAGATGAATGGCAGCGTCCTGTACCCAGCCACCTTGCCCTGCCCCCGTCTCAACAGGTATTTCTGAACGAGTGGATGTCTACGTGAGGGAAGCATCACGTTTCCCTTTTTAAAGTTGGGAGAGCTCAGATAAATTATCTAGTTTTTAAAAACCTAGACACCGTCCAAATGTCAGTTCAGTGTTTTCCTACTCAACTGTAATCACCACTCTCCCAAACATGGAACTCATTCACTCATTTAGCTCAAATACTGTGGCACCTGCTATGAGCTGCTTTTTTTTGAGGGGGGTGGATTGATATTTTTATTGAGATATAATTTACATACCATAAAATTTATCCTTTTAGAGTATGTTATTCACTATTTTTTTTAATTGTTTATGAATATTCATGACATACAAAGCTGATTGTCACCCCTCATGCCCATGATGTGAGAGCCAGATTTATGCTGGCAGCATACCCATTACCAGAAATTGCATTTGTACCCCGTGTCCCCCACCCAATCATCCCCAACATCTCTCTCCCTCCCTTCGCCCCCACTCCACATTGTAGCCCAAGGAATGTTCTCTCCCTCTGCAAGTCCAATGCACTACTGTGGTCTTTCCTTCCTTCTTTCTCTCTGCATGTGCAAAAATCATCGCACGCAGGCCCTGACCTGAAACATACTGAGGGGTGATCGGCCTAGTGATGAGAAGCACTGGTCCAGAGTCAAACTGGCCTGTATTCACATCCCTGTGCTGCAACTTACTGCTTTATGACCTTG